CTACCTTCTACAGCCATTTTTCCTAGTGTGCCATGCCTCTTTTGTGGAATTTAATTTCGCAAGTTTAATGAAAATGCGAAATTTACGAAAATTATTTCCAATGAAATAATACCCCTATACGGTATTTCTTGCCCTGCATAAAGTTATGACCATTACTAACTACTAAGTACACGTAATTTTGACCAATATTTTGCTTATCATATTTATGTTAGATGTGTTAGTTTCAAGTGCAACACATGAAATTGTAATTCACATAATGACTTAATTTCATTAAATTCCAGTTGTTTGTGTCACTGTCCTACCATTAACACATCATTTGGTCCTTGTCTGTTTAGACTACTGTAGGCCCTCCCAGTATCATGGACCAAATACCATATTATTGTGGCGGGAAGTTATACCCTCAGTTAATCAACTTACCAGTATTACATGTCTTTCTGTCCCTATATCCCTCTTATTACTTGTTTACCATTTTAGTAAAGCCACTCACTCTGGTCTCTTTGGTTATTTGTGACACCAGTCATTCCCTCTCATGCACCCTTCCTCTCTCTCTCACATAGCCATCTCTGTCTTTCTTTAGACGTAAGTTGACATAGTCTTAATTTTTTTCACCTTATCGCCCCTCTTGTCTCTGTTTTGTAGTGTTTTAAAGCCCTGTATAATGCTAGGTGATAAACTGTTGGCTCGTCTTAGGTACATTGTAGTTTAATTTTTATGTGAACAAATCATGACTTGTTATCTCTTTGCATCATTTTTATGTCTCTCATTATTTATTTCAAAAAGTTCATTACTATTAACACATAGGTTTATTAATTATTCGCTTTATGAATGCAATGATTATTACTGCTATTGTCTAAATTTGTGATTGATAGTACCGTATAGCAGGAAATTTTGGAGGAGGTTAAATTTGGCTAATTTGGCATTTTGATAGCCATTCGCAAGAATAAAAATCTGCCATTTTGAGTCATTATATGCATGCTCAATGGCACATGTTATGGCCACAAATTTGCCAAATGAAAATTTGCCAATCACCAAAATTTAGCAATTCGCCAAAAATTTCCCGCTATATTATGGTATTTACTTGAATTAATTTAGTGTAGCAGACCTGCTTAAACAGTGTAGAGTCACCATTGGCGACTGTGCTAAAGAAAGCATCAAAGTTAAAATATTGTTGATGAAACATCATGCTTCTTTGTGACAATGGTATAGGGTGACTCAACAGTGGATCTGTTCCAAAAGCACTATAAATGTTGCAATTCTTTCTCCGTATTGTTCAAAAGACATCTGAACTTCTTGTGGACTTCAAATAAGTTGTGGGTGTACTGATCAAACTTGATTGTTTTTGCTCATCAATACATTTGGAATTCCATGGCCTATCATTTAAGGTGTATTGTTATTAACATTATTATTGTGCACAAACCTGGTACAGAATGTTCATTCCAGGATTCTACAACTAGCTTGGTTCCCACAGCAGCAACATCAACTGTGAACCATGACACACAATTTTTCATGAGGACAATCCAAATTGATGCTGCTAGATTCTACCATTTTCATCAAACATGCTTTTATAGGGTAATTCATCCACCATTTATCTCTACCCAAAATCATTCAACTCGGTGATTCTTAGTAATAAAATTTTACCATAGTAATTACATGATAAAAAGTAGTTTCACTTGTTTTGAGGTCGTTTGTAGGTGAGGTGGATGGGATGTATTTCCTCTTAATTTTTCAAGTTTCATAACTCTAAAATTACTTGTCGGAATCAGCTCAAGTTTTTTCACATAGCATAGGAATCAATATGTATTAGAAGA